CCAATAGAAAGCTAATGTTTTAATTTATCAAATCATGTATTATATTACATTGTTTATAACCAATAGAAAGCTAATGTTTTAATTTATCAAATCATGTATTATATTACATTGTTTATAACCAATAGAAAGCTAATGTTTTAATGTATCAAAGGATGTATTATATTACATTGTTTACAACCAATAGAAAGCTAATGTTTTAATATATCAAATGATGTATTATATTACACTGATTTTAGTACAGAGTATTGTCTATTTCACTTTCACTTTAAAAGTTTCTGTCTAGGCATTAGGTATACAAGCATAAGGGAAGCTTTAAAGGTTCTTATGCCATAGTTAGAAAGCCAGATAAATTGTGATGGTTACAGAACTTTGTTTGCTTTGTGTTATACTTCTGTGTTCTTAGGTGCATTATGTAAGTAAGTAAAAATTTACTTGTACCATAAGAATAAAAAAGTAGGCTTAAATTTATTCAGCAACTGAAAGCGAAAAACAAGAGATCACAGGTGATATATTTCTTGTTTTTAATATATATATTTTATATTTATCATAAAATAACTAAAATATAACTGTTACAAACTTGTTAGATTAAGTAAGATAATGAAAAATATAATAAGAAAAATTCTTCACAAGGTATGCATGCAAGCAGCTCACAGGTTATGTATTCAATACAGTAACACAAGCTACACATTCTCTGATTTACAACTGGTGCAGGATTATTTATTACACATGGGTGAAAGGGCAATAAAACAATAAAAATTAGGTTTATACTATAGTTATAGTTTTGTGTTGTAATTTCCAGTCATTCTAAAAAGAAAAAAACATTAATTTAGATTTCTTTTATTTTTTATGATGGTTACAAGATTGGTCAAACAGATGGATTGCTTACTGAGTCATGGTAAATAAAATAATATATAAAATGCAGTTTTACTGAAAAAAAAAAACGTTTGATATTTATTTAAGATATTTTAGAGATCACTCAAATGGAATTTGACAATTTTAAGATGAAGAAAGTATTTTTATTGTTAACAGGAAAGTCACTTTGCACTTGTAGTAGTCTAACATTGATTCCAGATATTCATGGACTTAATTAGAAAAATCTGATTGTTTACTGAATTTCAAAAACATATTAAAAGTTACAGTATGGAAACTTTTATTTGTATTTTAGGATTACAAGGTCAGTTACACTGACCAAGATCTTATGGTAAGTATTGAGCATATCGACTGTGGCAAATGATAAATCAATGTCAATGAACTTAAGTTTTAGGTGATGTCTGTACTTACCAGATGGTCTTTCTAATTCAGATTCAAAATCTCTTTAATATTCAGTTTCTGTTTTCACATTCATAACATTATAGTGTGAACTATCCTGATCCTCATCATCACTGTAACTGAACTTTGAAATAACTTCATCGTGTAGCAGATCACCAGGATGTTCCATTTTCACTTGAACAGATATGTTCTAAAATCAAACAACATTTGAAAGGGTTAACAGAAATAACAACTAGTGTTATCATTATATATAGACTCTACAGTTCACTACACGATGATATAATTAGTAAACCTAAGATTTCAAAGTTAGTTATGTATGTAAACATATTTTATGTCTGATTCTATAAAACATTAAACCAAGAAGTTATTCTACAGGAAACACCCAATAACGAGTTTCTTATTTACCTTATCTGATAATAAAAATATTGAACTTATTATATTATTATTATATATATTACTACAGCAAAGCATCAAAGGTATCTATAGCAAACATTGGGTACTGAAGATTGAGAAAAACAAAATATATAGAAAAGTAAATACATACTAAAAATATCTTCATTTTAGTTTTCTCAAAGCAGGTTAAAAATAAATTAAAACCAGAAAGAACAATAATCACATTAAAGCATCAATCATCACCAATATCAAAGTTGAAATTTCAGATAAAGTTTGTATAAAATGGTGTTTTCACTGATATTCTTATAGTTGAAATTTAAACAGAATGTTGGTAATTATGATCTTGGAGTCATAAAAGCTACACATTCTTAGAAAGCCTAGTCACACACTTACCAACACGGCAAGGAATCCAGAAAACTGAACAGTGATGGACAATGATGAAAAATTGGCCACTTTCTTTTCTTCTAAATACCCAAAAGAACTCACATTATGTAATTCCAGAAGAGCTACACAAATCAGTAAAGATAATATAACTAGTGAACTGCTTTGCCACAACATAAGAAAAAGATGTCATATACGTCAACTGTGAACAGAAGATCATGTTACTGCTCACCACAGCAAACAATGTTTGAGACCACAAAGTCATCTGATTTCAAACCGTCCATATAAATAGGAACAGAAGGATGGTTCGAAAGGTGTTCAGAAAATTGAAGTCTGTACTTCCAATAAGGAGTATCTGATTTCTTCAGATGATTTAAAGAAATGTCACAAGTGGGGTTACAAGTCATGTTGGAACGGGCTGATCAAATTCAACAATATCATCCTGTTGCTGATCCAGTTCAGTCAACTGTTCCTGGATACTGAGACCAAAGATAAGAACAAAGATCATCTATTTACAAAAACCACAGCCTACTAAGGCATAATGACAGATAGGATGGTGCAGTAAGACTGTAGCTCATAAATATGCTGTAATGAAAGATTCAAATATCTGATATCAAGTGGAAGTCTGTGGGACTCAGTGTATAAACTCTGGACCAAAGAACAGATAGTCCCGATGTGGAATGAAACTCTTGATGATGTACAGAGTCCCTAGTTGAACCATAGACCAGAGATCTGTAGTTCAGCTTTGACTGAATGTGTAGTGTAGCTACGGCTTTAGACCAACACATATTGGTCAAATACTTACATTGGATAGATACTATTATAACAGATAGAAGGAGGAGACTTCACCTATATTCCAATGCAAATGCAAGTCTCATTTGGCTGTACCTATCTACCAGGAATAATTTGGTAGATATTGTAAATGGATGTCCTGTACTACACTTCCTGTTAACAGCCTAGCCCTACATCTCCAATTAATATTGGGCCCAACTGATCTCTTACTTGAGAGAAAGCACCATTTACAGTAGAGACTCCATACCAACATCCCCAGCAGCTTGAGACTGGAGAAGTTAGGGTTTCTTTGTGCTCCACTATAAGAATGAAAGGTAGAGGGGATACTTCTACTGGGCACGAGAGTATATGGACCACTGTCATCAGACACAATCGCTGGAATTGGGTCATCACAAAGGGACAGTTGGTTAATATGTTTTAATATCACTGATAAGAATAATAATGCTTCTATTTAAAACATATCATGATTGAAATTTGATATAATTAAAAACCAGTTAACCAAGTTATTTATGTACATATTTTGAATAGGCTAAACACAGAAATACTAAATAATGATTTTAGTAATTACAATATTATATAATTACCTACTATAATTCACTAAACAGTATACTTAACTCATCCTATTTAATGATAATTTTAGATGGTGAATATAATTAAAAAAAACAATTGTGCTTATACATTCAAAGAACCATATTATATCTATTAAAAAGCAAAAGTAGTTTAAAAACATACAATTTACAATGTGCAAAAGTATTAAAGAAATTTGTAAACCTGTATATACATACATATATAAAACCTACAATTACATGATAGTCTAATTCTTGGTCTACTCAATCATGTTTGAATATTTTTTATTGCTGTTTTGAAAGCAGTGTTTCATTATTAAATGAACGAAACACTAATGTGAAACTATAACAAAATGGCAGCCAAGGCCTTACAAAATCTAAGGGAAATACTTGAAAATCAAGAAATAGGTTACAAATTTCTCAAGGGATGATAAATTTTGGGAAAAATAAAGTTATTCTTTGTGATTGTGAACTTTAAGTGATGTTCATTTGTTTACAGACAAGACTTTACAAGTGTTTAGAAATAAAAATATAAACTTTTCATGAAGTTCACTCAATAAATGTCATAAAATAACAAAATATTGATTCTAAAACATCTTTAGGGTAAAACTTTGTAAACTCCACACATCTCCAATACACATCTGCTTCTACAACACTGAAGATTATAATTTCTAGAACAAAAATGGGTGGTAGTCTAGGAATTTTGGACTTCTCTTAAAAATCAAGGGCTGGAATTCTACAGATTAACATTACATACATTATGGTTGATTTGACAGAGAATTGTAATATTAACATTGTAAGAAACATTATAGCTTACATGATCTAGAATTCTAGAGATTAACATTATGGTTGATTTGACAGAAGTTATAATTTTCCTATACTGAAAATGTATTTCCAAAAGGTACTTCCCTCCACTCACATGATTAGCTATTCTCATACAGTGCTGCCTTCTGTATGCAAATTTTTTCTTTATGCTTGCTACAAGCCTTCCATTTCCCCTATTGGAATCAGTCAAAGTCACAACTTTTAACCTGAAGAACAAACACAGGTGGAAAGCCAAGGTTCCAGAACTTGGTGTTGGAATTAGGGGGCTCCTATATCCCACATTGGTGGCTAAGGCAATTGGACAACAATGTTAGATACAGATATATGTGTGATCAGATCCCAACTTTTAGACATAGAGTGAAGCTTTCCAAACCACCAGAATAATGACAAGAAAGTAAACAACAAGAAAACGGAAAACTTTCCACTCCACCAGAAGAATTCTGAAAGGCAACACCCCAGGCTTGGAATGATGGGATCATGTATGCCTTACTCAACTAAAGGAACAGATTTCATCCAGTCAGAAATTATGAACATTCATCCTTTCCACTCCACCAGAAGAAGTCCGAAAGGCAACACCCCAGGCTCGGAATGCTAGGATCATGGAACAGAACTCATCCAGTCTGGAATTATGAACATTCATCCTTACTCCCCAGCTGAGTGAGCAAAGAGCATTCCACTTGCCCCTGGAATTATGAAAAGGACATGGAACACTGTGCTCTATCAAAGACCTAGGATGGGACCACTCTGCATTCGGAAATAGTGGACCTCCTTCCATGAACAATATACTAAACTGATATTGATCAAAAAGAAGGGTTATTCACACCCCAACCCGGTAGCTTCATGTCAAATCTGAGCTGATATTATGAGTAAGCTCCCATATAGGCTGATGCTGCTCCTACCAACATCTGGGAAAACATCCTGGGACCCAGATAGACGGGCTCCCAACTTTGTTTTCTTCTCACTCGAATACTCTGGAGGAAAAACCTCTGTCCACTATCCCAGTGACTGGAAACTGGGTGTGGTAAGGGCTCCTTAGCTATACTAGTAAAATCTGTGGGTTAATGTGCATTGGGGAAACCTGAGAAACAGTGCTCTGGAAGCAGTGCAATAGGTGAACCAAGCTCCCTAAATTTTAAAACGCAAACTGACCCCAATTTATTCAATCTGATGATCAGCAGGGCCGGGCATGATCCCATTTGGCTTTACTCGTGATAGTCCATGAGTGGCAGTCCAGAATAATATGGTAATACTACCATCTGGTGAGTGACGAGATGGTCTTATGGAATACCTCATATCTACAGAGCTTATTGTAACTGGTAGTAAATTGGTGGCTAATGTGGAATTTGAATGATAAAAGCACACCTGACTGAGCAACACTTACCATAAAGTGGGACCCAGTGAAAAAGAAGTAAGGTACCCTGGAAAGCAGAGAGAAACAAGAGGATGACAAGAAATACTCATTCCTGCTTATAATGTAGCAGAAGTTGTCAAAACCCCTCAGAATAATAACTGCCAGGTCATCTAAAGAATGTGAAAGAAAAGCATTGGCAGAAGTCCACATACCAGCCCGTACAATAGCCTCCAGAGAACCATTCAAACAGCCAGAAAAAGACATAGAAATCTGAGAGAAGCAACTCTCAAAAGATTCCTCACCTGGAAAGAAAGTCCAGATTAAGTAAGATGGACTAATCTGAAAAGCCACCATGTCAAAGTAATTTGGGAATCCACAAAAGGAGTTAGTGCAAGCCATCTAACCCCTCAGGCTTCTGACAGGATATAACAAATGATTTGGGGTCTGATTTGGCTTGTATATGTGAGAAATAGCTGGCCAAAGTATCAATGAGAAGGATTTATCCCATTCCCAGGCTACCAGAATCTTAGGGAAAAAGGAACTATAAGTGTATAACAGGACAAAACTGGAGTGATAAAGAGTCCTGAGCACCTGTAGTTCAAACAACTCTGACCTTCAAGTGCTCATGTCAACAACAACAAAAGATGATACACATGAAGGGAAGTGTGAAACTAAAGGCTCGATTGAATGTCAAGATAAAACATGTAATACCACCTTAATAACCCAGTTAGATAATATTGAAAAAGCCACTTGGGATGAACAACACTAAAAAACTTAGGAAGGCCAGGTAGCACTGGAAATTCAAATACCATCCTATGTTTAGAATATCAAAAAGTAGTCAATAAAGTCACCATATATAAAGCAACAGCAGATGAAGCTAGA